TCAAAGACGGGTGTCATTTTACAAACACAGAGAAGGCAATTATGTGACGTTGAAACCCAGAATTACAAGGCTCTCAAGGCTCACCTGGCTGTCATGACCCGTGTTGGGGACCCATTGCAGTTGACAGGAATCCCTTGTCCCTAACATGAAATTGTTTTACCATGAGGAGCAGTGCTCTCCCCATGTTTATCTCACAGGGACCTGTATTTGGAGACATCCAGGCAGATCTTCTCTTCCTCCCCTCCTTTATTTTCTGGCTTTACTTTCTCATTTTACCCTGTTCTGCAACATAAGAAGGCGGCTAGATGATGGACCAGGAATGGGGGAACCCTAAAATGAGGCCTAAATTGAAAACAAAGAACTTTTCTTCTTTTTTTTCTGCACTAATGAACTTGTGGAACTCACTGCCACAGGGCATGACTGGAGCCAAGCGGTTCCTGTGCACAACTCAACTTATCACGAAACATGCTTGCGTAAAACTCTTTAGCGTCTTTGCTTAAGACATATTAAGAGTGGCTTGGTATCTGTAAGATATTTTTTTGTGGCCCAAAGCTTGTTGTTTGCTATGATCAGGGATTTTTATTTCTTCTTCCGAAACATGGTGTGACGAGCTTTCCATTTCCTCAAAGAGGAATGCTAACAAATCAGTAATTTTTAACATGGTGCAGCAGTGATTTGCAGGGCTAAACAAAACCGTCACCCCAGAAAGTTCGCAGCACCGGTGCCCGCTCTAGCAGCTGTCACCCATGGGCGCACTGTGCGCCAAGATGGGTCCACACACTGCCCAAACCCAGATTGACCACAGAAGCCAGTCAGGCTGTGGTGATAAAAAAACAAGACACCAAGCAAAGATATTTCAAAAGCTGTCATTTTACTTCCCCCCTGCTGTGCAACCTGATCGCTCATTATTTCCCAAATGTTTCCAGCAAATTTATATAGATTTTTTCCCACCTGTTCTGAAATTGTAATTTTTTCTTAAGGAAGCACATTACTTCACCATTTCAAACAGCCCCAGACCCTCACCCCAGCAGATGGCTGAGACCTCCAATATCAATTGTCAATGTCACCAGTCCTCCCAGACAAAAACTAGGACAACCCAGACTGGCCTATGGCTAAAACAGTTGACTGGAAGTCAGGGCTGCAGACTCTCTGCAGGGCCCTTGTTCTTGTTACGGTGCTGCTGAGCAAAGCCGCCATCTTGCACAGAGCCCATTTTGGCCTGGGGCTTTGTGGCTGGATAACGGTGCCTTGAAGATTATTTGTCTGACAGTATTGAGTTTGTGTTCAGATCTGGAACACACAAATGGAGGCAAAGCCCTGCTGCGGAAGAGTGGGGAAGAAGAGAAAGGGTGATGGGCGTGGCCATCAGCCATACAAGCATCTCTGCCAGCCGGGTGGCACCGCCTGAGGAGACCGCCTGTGAGGCGGACTACAACTCCCAAAATGCTCTGCGGCCCGGCCGCCCCTACGAGCGAGCCCCGCGCAGGGAACTACAACTCCCATCCTGCACCGCTCCACCCGCCGCTTTCCTATTGGCTGGATGTCGGGCTGGCGCGAATCCCCTTCCCCGCAGGGGCAGTGGCGCTTCTCCCGTCTCCACGACAACAGGAGAGCAAACAAGATGGCGGCGGCCTGGTCGGAGGGGTGACGGGGTGGTGCTCGAGTGCGAAGCACCGATAGCGCAGCTCCCTCCGTGTCCTCGCTTCTTATTACAGGTCATGGCGGGGGGCGAGGAGAAGTGGGGAGAGGGCGGCCTCGGTGAGCTGCTTCCCCCTTCTTATGGGCCCCTGCAACACCTCTCCCACGGGATCCCTGGGAATCTGCCCCAGGACGGGCCCAGCCTACGGCAGCCACAGCTCAGCCTGCCTCACCAAGAGGACAAGCAGGAGGAGGATGACAAAGAGGAAGAGGAGTCACAGCGCACAGAGGTTCAGCTCAGTGCCCCCCAGCTATCTGGGGAGGGGTGTGCTTGTGAAGGAAGAGCCCTTTCCCTCCTTATCGCTCAGTGTAGTTGGGGGGGAAAGAAGGGGGAGTCGATGGGGGCACCAGGTAGTGATTTCTCATTTCCCCAAAGACAGGAAAGGCTGGTTTGGTCTGTTTCCCTTCACCTCTCATTTCTGCCTTTTTTTAGGGTCCCTTCCATCCCTGTGGTGTCCAGGATAGTTCTGGAGTGCCCCTTTTGCTCCTTGCTATATAAAGACTAAGGATAAGCTGGCATATGGATGGCCAAATTAAACCCCTTTCTGTTTATATGCCCAGCCCTGAGATTCAATAAGCCCCTGGACCCAAGTGAATTTTTTCTCCCTGCTCTGCTGGGCTCTGAAGTGTCCACTGCCACAGCATTATCCCCTCATACTTTTACCTAATGGAAATGCATCTGTAGTCTCCATTGCTATAACATGTAGGTGCTATAATTTAGATGGTTACCATTTGAAACATTATTTATCTTTGTCCCTAGATTAGCAGTTGTTGTATGACTTCTCCAAGCTCATAGGAATTTCACAAGCCATTGGCTTATTTTCTCATTAAACTTATGCAGTGGTTCATTAGTGCCATCTGTCAAGTACCCTCTTTGGCAAGGATTGTTCTCTGAAGAGTAGCGCTAGCTGCTCATGCTGAACAAATTTAAAGGGCCTCCAATAATGTGCATATTGGGGTACAACACTGGGGTTATGTTAGTGCTGATTTGCTGAGATGTTAACATCCATAATCAATGTGAGTTTCATGGCTCAATATCTCTGGAAACAGGTCCCATTTAGAGCTGTGCATTTAAACCATAAAGTAAAAAAAAATCCCAACAAAAAATTGTTGAACCTTTTTCAATGTATAGAGCTAGTACGTGATATGTTTCTGCTTATGTGTTTTGAGGGCTATATTCATCATTTTTCCTAATGTGCAGTGCCTTAGTGGGGCGATGGAGCACTGAAAGCAGCATTTGATTGAGGACTTTTATTAAACACTGTTCCCGGCTGCATCCGAAGCAGCCCCCAGATTCTACAGAGTGTGGAATTTCATTTCATAAGTCTCCACTTAATCCATTCTTCTCCCTGCCCCCCCCTTTCTGGTATTTCGTAGGGTCAGTGTGATGGAGTGTTGGATGAAGACACCGTGGCTGAGGGTCTCCACAAGCTGGGGCACTCAGCCCCTGGTATCGAATACGTTTATCTTAATCTGTCGCTTTCAGTAAGTATAAGCAAAGAACGTCATTGTAAAGTGCTTCTCTGCTCAAAGGTTTCCTCTTTTTAACAGCAAATAGTTGGTCTAGTAAAAAAAATTTCAAGAGGCAGATTTTTGTCTCTACCTGTCAATGCTGTTTCGTGTACACGGGACTTTTGACAAGACACATGGCTCCTGCTGACAACTGCCATATCGGCATTGTTTTGTTCACTTAGTAGCAACAGGAGTAACATTTTGCCTTACCCAGTCTTTGGGTGTGAAAATGTATCTTCCTGCTTCAGCCAGCTGGAGAAAAAATAGAGGAACGTGCTAAACGTGAGAATGCTGCATTCATTGTCCCTTTAGAAAGTTAAAATAGTTGTGTCTTTTTAAAGATTACTTGCTGCCGCTCCCTTTTCTATGCAGCCTTGTTTTTCTGGCATTTTTCCTAGCTACAGCTATCTCTCCTGGTTGTGTTTTAAAGTCGTCTTTTGACATTTTCTCCATTCGTGGCTGGTCTGCAGGTCTAACATCACTTTCTGTATATGTCATCCTGCTCTGACACATCCAGCTGGAGGGACCTTGGGGCACCTCTTCAATGTCTCCTGCTACTGTGTATCTCTTGGGAGAGTGGGTGAGGTTATACAGCTAGTTATTAAAGTATCTGCTTTTTTTTTCCAGGGTCGTGAGTTAAGTGACATTAACATTCTCTCCAGATACGTTCACCTACAAAAGCTGGAACTTTCATATAATAAAATTAATGGTATGTAGTAAATACACTAGTAAATTCTTGGGTTGTGAAATCATTTAAGATGAGAAATGCACTGTACCATATAGCTTTATTATCACAAAGCCTGGTCTACATTTTAATGGCGTAACTGCTCCAGCTCTACAGGCTGAGGCAATGGCTAGATCTTCTTGAGAATGATGTATGGACCGTTCAGACAGCTGTACCAGCATATGCTTATCAGTGGGAACATGGAGATTATTGTCCAGTTTATTATCCAAATACGGAAAAGCAAGCAAGCATGTCAATACAAGATTAAGGTTGAGATTTTACATGTGCAGATGTCATAATATTTAAAGTTATGTCTGGTACAGTTTTGCCAGCCTTGGGCTTTCCTTTGTCAAGGTTTCCCATTGGTGACAAAATGTAAAAAATTATATCCTGGATTTAGAAGGTAACAAATGGACACTGGGGTACACTCCATCATCTTCTACTCCTTCCCTCTCCCTTGTACTCCCCAACTCATTTTTTAATTTAACAGCAAAAGGAATAAGCTGTGATGGCAGCCTGTTGCATTATTTCTTTCAAGTTCATTTCACTTGAGGTGCTGGAGTCCAATAATAGCAGCACTTTTGTAAGGCAGCACTTCTTTGTGCTCATTTTACTAACAGTTTGTCTGTGAAGGCTAGGTCTGAACAGAGCAGGGACTTTTCCATAGCAACTAGTCATTTAGTCTTCAGTAGTGGCCTAAATACTTTTCTCCACTAATTAATAACTTAGGACAGAGGTAGTCTCTCTGTCATTCTAGAGGTAGCTAGAATATCAAACTATATTCTGGCTTATAGACAAATCAGTTGACATAATGGAAATTTAATGTAGAACTTGAATATTTATTCCTCGTGGTTTAGAACCATATTTTTTTCTAGTAGAGGGTGTTAATATATCTGATTTCTGCATTTCAAACATTGCTTTCTGAATGTGTAACTACAAATTGATTCTTGATTGCTATAGGACATAATTATCACATTTTGACATGATGATCTCTGCATTTACCTATGCATTCATGTACAGGATTTGACATTTTGTTTTGTTACTAGATCTTTCTTGTATCAGTCACATGCCTCACTTACTAGAACTGAATGCTTCCAACAATGAATTGACTACATATTTCATTTTTAAACCACCTAGAAATCTCAAGGTAAGTTGCAAAAAATGCATTTTATAGGTTTAAATTCAAAATGGTTTTCTAAATCTAATTTAGACATTGTATTTGGACATGTGCAAAAGCGAATTTTTATGCCCGCCTTATTCTTCTTTCTTACCTCATTTGACATTTTAATCGCTTTTCCAAATGTTTGGGTATTTTACACTGCATGTTTCAGTCTTTAATTTTCTTTCACACTCTGAACCCTGGCGTGCCATGGGAAGGTGTATTGTACAGCTAACTGTTCTAGCCAGAGGTAAACATAGCCAGAATTTTTTCCTTGTTTGTCGAATTCATCAGACCTTTAGTGGGATCAGTTCCTGCCTTTCAAATTGACTGGTGCCAGTCGTTATTGTGAAACACGTACTTGAAGTGTAGCTGTGTGCTAGTCTTCCCTTTGCTGTTGTTTTCTTGTTGCCCACTTTGGGTTATAAAAAGCAGGAGGTTGTTTTGAAATACGTCCTTTATGTATTTCTCTGTCTTCTTTGTTAGTTTTTTTAATATGTATGCATAATTACAGGACCATTAATGATAATGTTGGAAGAACGTGTAGTTTTGGAATTTCCCAAAATGTGAATTCTATGTGTCATAAGAAAGACCCTTTTTGTTTATGTCCCAATATTAATATTAATTATCTTCTTATTTCTTCCACACCCTTGATCGCAAGTTTAATGTAACAGCCGTTTAGTTTCACAAGACAGCTGTAAGTGCTGAAGAAAAAAAAGTAACTTTCTGTCTCCTTTTTTCTTTAGGAAGTAGATTTTTCACACAATCAAATACCTAAAATGCAAGATTTGTCGGCATACCAGTCACTTACTAAACTCTTGCTGGATTGTATCCTTTATGGAAACTTGAATGGGAGAAAAGTTGCTTGGTTGCTTTCTGAACAGCTGCTTGCTTCAAACAGATACCTGTTTTCTTTGTATTTTTCCTTCACGTCAGTTTTGTCTTTAGAAGCAAGATTAAACACTGTAATTCTGGTGGTGAAACTGATCTTAATTTACTTAAGCATGCCTGGTGTTAAAGGTGTTTGTGTGTACATGTAAGGTATTAGCCTGCTAGAGGAACACAAAAAAACCTCCACTTTGCATCATGTAAAACCAAAAAACTGACATGTCACACTGTCTTTGCATGGCAGAGGTAATAAATAATCCCAGTATTTTTATATAAGAAAGGTTAATAGGAAATCAGCTTGGAACACTAAGCTCCCTTAATTGAAAAAGTTGCATGTTGTTTAATCTCAGACATAGCTAATTACGCAGGGACTGTAGAGGCTTTGTGGAGGACAAGGCTGTTTAATGACAACGAATAGAATCTTTAAGTGAGAGAAAACTTCCTGGAGTGTGCTGAGGGAAGTACACAGAGCGAAGGTGTTCTGCTACGCACCTTCCACGTTCTCACTGTGGTACCCAGTTTGTGGGATTAGAAACACTGTTCTGGCAGAAATCAGACAAACATGAACCTGTAGATTAAGTTTCTTCATTGCTTACTTCTCCAAGGCTGTCCATAGCACTCTTAGTCTCCCTAAAGATTCTCTTAGCTTTTCTGAAAGGTCTTCTGGAGTTTCATGTTGACATGCTGCCTTACCTACAATTGCTTCCTGAGGGCTCATGAACCTTTCCTCTTTGCCTCATAAATTGCATCCTGATTTTCTGCTCTCTGAAAAGGAGAAGACAGCAGGCTGTTGCAGTTTTTTCTCTGTCTCTTGTCCTCGAAGTAGCCCATTACCAAACGATATTAATACAATGCCTTTTTCATGTAGGAGCAGATAAAGCATTTGCAGGGCGTCCAGGTTTCGTTATTCACACGTTTCACAAGGTGTGCAGGTGACATGATTCTTGTCAGAAAATGGCATTGAGACACCATCCCTTTGCAATTCTAATTTTCCATCACAGAGCAAAAACCATACAGCAAAATGAAAAGGAAAAAAGATCAAGAGATTTGTATTGTGGATCTGAATCAGTAATTTTTCATTTGGTTTCAATGCAGCAGCGTGCCATCTTCAATTTCTTCATTTGTCAATGAAGATGCCATTGAAATGGGGAGAAAAACTGTTTCATGCGTACAGTTGCAACAGGACCCTCTGAAATAGAAGAAAATGAGTGCAGAATTTAGAAGTGCAGAATTTAGAAGTGCAGAATTTAGAATAGCAAAATGGCACTGTTCCTAACCCATGTCAAGCACTCCTCGACGAAGACATGGCAGACAAAACAAGCTGTTCTTTGTAATCGTAAATGAAAATACTATATTAAATGTCATACAGTAGCAGAAATGTTTGGCATGCATTTCTTGTTGACAGTAACTATTTCTTACCATATTTAAGTGAATTATGATGCAAATGGTAAGGTCATTGTAACTTTCTTCTGACAGGTGCAGACACAAGCACACCTGACAGGATGATAAGTGAGTTTTCAAGGAGGAAACTGCCCAAACCAGAAAGGGAGACAGCTTGGGCAATAATATCTGACAAAGCATTATAGTGAGTCATTAAAAGACTAAAACTGATCATATTAGTTTTTAGTGCTGAGCAATTTGCTGCCTCATATTGATGCTTATGGCTTAAACAATATTTTTTCCTTGCCAAAACTTTTCCTCCTCAGCTGAAAGAGAAGCAGTCCCATTTTGCATGCAAATCAATGAATATCTGTCAAATATCAGTGCCTGTGGATGGTTTTGGTTTCTTTTCTAAATAACAAAGACAGCCTAGTGTGAGGTTCTATGAAAAGATAAATCTGTGCTTACCAGCTCATTTCTCCTCCTCTCCTTCCCCGTCTAGGCCTGTGAGTGTAGAACTTAGGTAGCGTACAATTAAGTCCTTAGGTAGGAATGCAGTTAGGAAAAAACAGAGTTAGGTCACAGATATTAAAGAGTATTCTGCTGGCCCTGGCTAAGCTTACATTTTGTTTGGTTACAATATCATTCAGACTGAGAGAAAAAAAGTCCTGATAATTGGTCTGCTGCCTGGTAAGACTAGAAATGTGAATGAAAATTCACTTGCCCCTCTTTGCAGGCAGAGTTCATTCTCTCAAGTCAATGAAAAATGTTTTATTCTGTGATTGCCTAAAGGCATTTCTCTGTGTCCTGCATATTCTGGCTATTTTTTTCAGTTACATTTCTTGTTTTTTTATGTAACTAGTTCCAGCTTGGACACTTACAATACAAGTGCAATTCTTCTTGCCTAACCAAACAATTAGATGCCTGGATCAGAGTTACCTGATTTCGGTACAGTGGAGAGATACAGAGTCAGGTACCTCTGCAGTTCATCCCATTGTAAGAGAGCAATCTGAGATAGCTTGTTGTCAAAGGAAACATGCTTTGTTTAAGGAATCTGGGTAGTTATGTTAATGCTGAAGTTTGCTGAGAGGAATCCTAACTACTTTTACTGCTGGTTTTGAGATTAATGTTAATTTAAAATACACTTTCCCCTTTCAGTACAGATGGCCAGTATAGAACAGGTATAAATTAGTGAAATAGCCCCATATAGTACTATCGCCTGTTATTACTTGGATAATTTGTGTATAAAGATTGAAGGTCAAGGTCAGTTTGGAGCCATGTTAAGTACTCCGTAGACATAAAAAGATCGTGCCTTCCTCTGATGACTCAGCCACGTGCCTGTATTCTACAGCTGACCTCACATGACTGGTGCCCAGTAAAAGTCAAAGGCATAAAGACCCCTATGTTTTAGCCTGTGCATATGCATCTGATGAGACGACCAGAGATTTACAGCATAGTTTTGCAAGATGCTGGCAAAGTAGTTCCTTCCCCACACTCCTGTTCCCCCATTTCCACTACTTTCTTGATTTGCCATTAGCCCGGTTATGCCAGCTTGAAGGGCTGCACTGTAAACCAGATCACAGAAATTATCTGAGTTAAAAGCTCCTCCAAAAAGGAGGAGAGGATGTTTCTAGCTGGATCAGTGTCGCTTATCCTGCAGCCCCGCAAAAAGCTATGTCAAACAAGGAGGCAGTAAGCTTCAGAAAGGGGTGGGTGTGAGCAGCCAGGATTTTAAACTACTTAGCATGAAGCATTTGATGTCCAGCTCCCCTTACCATAAAATTCAGCTCCCTTGGCTAATTTAGCTACTGATTATTGCTAAGGTTTTGTGTTCAGTTATTTTCCTTAAGTGCAAAAACCTCTGTGTAGTTAATAACATAGAGGAGATAAGAGGACTGGAGAAGTGTCACAGTCTGACTCATCTTAGTTTGTCACACAACAGACTCATTGCAATCAGTGGCCTTGAGAATTTACCTATCAGAATACTCAATCTGGTAAGAAAGACGTAATTCTAGTTGTTTGCCTGTCTATCTTTTATCAATATATCAATGCCTTAATAAATGTGAAGGTAATTACATAACAAATTTTCAGAGATATGTATAATACTGGACACATTTTTTTATTAATACAGGATCATAGAATGATATAGGTTAAAAGGGAGCTGTGAAGGTCATCTGATCCAGCTTCCTGCCCAAAGCAGATCCATCTTCAGTGGAGGTTGCTCAGGGCCTGTCCAGCTGGGTTTTGAATTTCTCCAAAGATATTTTGCATTTGCTCTGCGTAGGTTTTGTTGTTACTTAGGTGATGTGCAAGAAGTTACTTACTGTGCAAGTCCCACAATACAAACAGTGAAGATTTTTTTTAAAAAGTACATTTCCTCATAAAGTTGTGTTCATGACAGCAGTGAGCTGAGACAGGAGAGGGAAAAGCGAGGACTGAGAAGCCTGCATTCATTTTAGAAACCAAGTCAAGTTTAGTATGCAAATCTGATATGTTATTAAAGGATCTTTGTTTAATTTTTTTAAGGATCTTGTAATGAGATTGGAAGCTTTATATTGCCAGCTTTCCATCAAGATATCTAGGGTATATTTGTTTAAATACAACATTTCTAGGTTATATTTCTAGATGCTTTAGCGGGATTTATCTTATCTGGCTTCAGTTTTCTGCAGTGTAGACAACTGCATGTGAGCTAGTTGTTCTCTCCTGCCTCAAAATTCAGTGGAGAGAAATGGACACTTAAAATACTTCATTGTTCTGATCCAGCTGCTGACACCTACATTAACACAAGATGCATCAGGCCTTGGAAGTGCCTGTTTCTCTCTGTTGGTTATGAAGATAGCCAAGGATAACTAGCCCAGATAGACACCTCTGTCTGTCAATGCCTACGCTTGTTGGCATGCATCTTGCTCTTTTACAGGTCTTGGGAAGGCATTTATCTCAGTGTTCCTCAGTTCCATGTTTGTAAAGTGTCCTTAATAATACCAATGCTTTCTTCTAAATCATTTCGAGATACTTAATAGGTTAAGAGCCATCAATATAGAAGTTGTGCAGAAACACAAGCAAAAAGTATTTTTAATGCAATTCAGTTGGTATAAAATACAACAGGCTACTTCTTAATAGGTTTTACTTTGTAATAATAATTTTAAAAATATTTAATGGGATTTTAAAAATGAGTACCAAAAAACTATACATATAAATATGCTCGTATTTGCTACATTAGTCTTAAGCACCTACATAAATATTTTAGGTAAAGCGAATGACTCCTTAATCAAGAATAGAAATATTCTTTTCCAATCCTTTTAAAATTTTAAAGATTTTTCTTCTGTTCTGTAGTAATTGATATAGAAAAGAGTAACTAAGGTCTGTACCCATCAAGGCCTGATTGGCCCTTGTACTTATTACTGCTTTGATATTCAGGAAAGGTATTCACGTTTAAAAGTGGACAGTAGTATGTTTTGAATAATATATTCAAATAGTGTTCAGTAACGTATTTTTAATATACTTATATTTCAGATATATAATACCTTCAGTAGCTTCCAGTTACGGCCTTAGTGGCAATAAAACTGAATTTTGTCTCATTTTTAGTGGATAAGATTAACTCAGATTGTCATACTCCTATAGTTCATTTCAGAACTTTTAGACATGATTTTGCCAATCTAAGCTGACAGGAAGATCTTTTCTCTAAAGGCTTTCTTCGGGGAGAACTACAGTAAGTCGTTCAACCACTGTGTGCACTGATTTCCTCATCTGTTAAAAGGCCTAATAATAATTCTGTTAGTAATGATTATATGTGCTGTAAGATGTTTTGGAGGTTGTGTTAACAGCTAAACCTCATTAATATGAACATGTTCTTCAGTTTTGGTTCTTACATGCTGACATGATTATTTATACAACTGCTTGTCTTTTTTAATTAGCAAAGTAGACAGTTATGTGGAAATTATGTAAATAGACAGATTTAGCATAGCATTTTCTTTTACTAATTATAATAAAATGCAGTTCTTTTTTCATGGCAGCAGTGATCCCCTCTCTTCCCATTGATTCAGCTTTATTTTCCTTTTTCCCTTGAGCTTTTTAGGTTGAAAGAGTAGTAAGGTCTGAAGTTTGGAAGAAAGGCTTCAAAAACTGTAAATACTGCCTAGCTATACTGAAAGGCCTTTATTCTGCTTATGTTTGCAAAAAATGAGAAGTGTAGCTCTAATGAACTGGACTCTCAGGAATTTTATGCTTCGCAAAAAAGGATCTCTACACAAATCCCTTTTGTTCATAGAATTTTATGTGCACCTCTTGCGTAGCATTTTGCAACTAGAGCTCTGAGCTGTATCGTATTAAACAGAGGTCTAACGAAGAACAGGAAGAGAAGAGGGAGCCTCCATGCTATTAATAACCTAATTAAACATTTAAAAGTCAGGAAAAATGTCAAGGACAGACAACTGGATTAACATTAGAGTCAGCTGGCTTATTTATTTCGATAGTTCCTAAATATTTATTAATAGAATATGAGGCTTCTAAGCTTTCAGCACAAGGTGATGCTGATGGAAAAATATAACTTGCAAGGTTATACAGAAAGAATCGTGCTGAGAGGCCATCTGGGTATGTGTGGCCACTGGGACAAAGATGAGTACAGAACCTAGCATGTTGTACCTATTTGGAGTTCGTAGCAGAAACGAGTATATGATTTGTGAGGCCCTGAGAAATGAAGCCATCTGGTGTCCGGGGAGAAATGTAGGTCTTTTATCTTGTACCTTGTTTGGAAGGAATGTAAAACAATGGTAGTTGGTTATGAGTTCTCAAAAGCTTGGGTCATTTCTTGTGTTAGAGTCTAGATGAACTTATAGTAACGTGGGTTTGTTGGGTTTTTTTAACATTTCTGTGCATGCTGTCACTGACAGTAGATAAAGTCTGCCTTCATTTAGTATGCATTCAGATGAACTTGTGTATCCTAGAGATATTTTTATAGACTGCCTGTAGTCCAAAGAAGACAGTACTGTATTGTTCTGCCATAATATTTTCATTATTTATTCTGTAATCATAAGTGTAAATTTAACCATGATTACAGAGGGAAATTCTATGTATTTATGTATATATATTCTATAATTTTATGTGCATATCTATTTTCTAAATTTTGAGTTGGATAGTGACAAGAGTATCTTTTAGCCAGTATCAGCTCCAAAAGAATGCTAGAGCTCTTTTTATTGCTGTTGTCTCTCGCTGCTATTCAAGGTGATTTGAAGAAAAGTTAATCAGAAGATGGCTGATTCCTTTTTCCTTGAGCAGTATGGAAAGCTGTAATATGTCATCTGAAGATGAAGATGGGGCTAATGCATAAAAGGCCTATTTGTAATAGGATTCTCAATAATAAAATTAACTCTGTTCTTCCTCAGGAATGTTGTTTTCCATCTGTAGAACTGTATCAACAGTTTATATGTTTTCATTTCCTTTTAGAGCTCTAACCGGATTGAGAAGATAACTGGGTTGGACAGCTTGAAAACTCTACAGAAGCTGGACCTATCTAGCAATAAAATAACTAGTCTAGAAGGCTTGGAGGAACATGATCTACTAGACATGATCAACCTAGAGGATAACCAGGTAGCATACTTAATATTGATCTCAGCTTTTTCTAAGAACGCATAATTTTTTTTTTCTAAAATTCAATCCCTTTAAGGCTTAATCAAAAAATCTTACAACACTGCAAGAAATGAATATTAGAAAAGTTGACATTTTTTCCTTTGGTATTTTACTGCAATACTGTTTCACATGTTGCTTGATAGTGTACTCCTCAGGTCTTATTTAATATCTCTAGATGGGTTTATCTTCATGTAGGTATCACTTCTGTAGTATTTAGTGCTCACGTACATAAAGAACTAACAGTGCTCCCTTGGGTGGATAAGACAGGGATGAGTATGCAGCTTTTTCAGCTTGATTATTCTTGAGGATCTTTACTTACATCACAGCTTTTCAACTGCCAGGCCTCAGGAGGGTTTGCTAATATCTCTCAGCCCAATTTTATGACCACAGATTCTTCTGAGCTCTCAGCTGGAAACTTCCTGTAAGGCAGAACTGCATGTACTCTGTTATAAAGTGGCTTTTGTTATGCAGCAGAATTTTCACTGGAAGTACAATGATACAATCCAACTCATTTGTATTTGAATTTTGAAACTCAAGCCATATATACATAATACTTTTGATATTGAGCTTCCAGGGTCCTTAACTGAAAAGACCATCAATTCATGAATCATTCTGACATCACAGACAGATCTGCATGTGAAAAAAAAATCTAAGAAAATAAGAAATAAAAATATAAACCAGGAATTGAACATTTTCTGTCATTTTTCCCCACTTGCAACATAAATTTACAGGATTTAATTCAAGACACTATGAATTCTTTTTCTCACACTGTGTTCAGGTTGACATTTAAAGGTACATCAATTGCACAAGACAGGAAACTAATAGTGTGGTTGCTGTTAGCATTAATAACACCACTTCCATTGCCTCATATAGTTTCCACTGTTCTTTACGGCGTGCAAAAGCTATTAATTTTACCTCATCAAAATTTGCCTCTTTTAATGATGTTATTGAAACTGTTTAATGAGTCACCATTTTTTGAACATTTCCTTCTGAAGAATAATTTGAAGATAATTTAATTAATTAACACAGAAATATCTGAGTTACTTCAGCTCACTATCACCCAGAGTGATCCTAAATGCTTGATTTTTCAAAAATGGACACCACAGGTTTATCTGCAAACCATGTCTCTCATATACATGTTCAGTGATTTTCAAATGTTGACTGTTGGCATTCTATGATTTATTTAGGAAATCCACCCAAATGACATTTTACTCGGTCAAAACTGTTCTGCGGTGGGCTTCTTGTTATCTCAAAATGAATATTGGGTAGGCCATGGTTGAGGTTTGGTTTTAGACACTTTAAATAAGCTGAGTATAAGTTAGGGATAGAATCTGAAGTCTTCTAGGTTCAGTCTTTCAGCAGTGGAGGAAAAACAGGTATCCTTACAAGGCAGTTCATCCCAGCCTACTGTGGATCAGATGACCTCTGGAACTGCCTCTCTCCACTGATTATAAAGTGAGGTTAAGCGACTGACTTGGGCTAACTTAACAGATGGCTAAAATGAGGCGATGTGAATTCCATTTGACCCATTTTGTTTTAATTGAGCCTTACAACTGTTCGCTCAGGGTCTAGCGTGAGTGCCTCTAGTGTGACACTGCTTTGGGCACACAAACTTTGATTAATCCCTCTCCACTGATTATAAAGTGAGGTTAAGCGACTGACTTGGGCTAACTTAACAGATGGCTAAAATGAGGCGATGTGAATTCCATTTGACCCATTTTGTTTTAATTGAGAGCCTTACAACTGTTCGCTCAGGGTCTAGCGTGAGTGCCTCTAGTGTGACTTTGCTTTGGGCACACAAACTTTGATTAATCCCACGTAACTTTTAATGCTTACCTGATGTGCCTGAGTGCAGCCAACCCAGGTTTCTTTTGTGGATAGATGACACCTTAAGCGGAATGCATCACCCTCTGGACACAGACAGCCAAGGACAACTATGCTGATGCTTTTCAGTCAAGTGCTGCAAGTTAGGTAGGATGAACTTGAGCTCCAGTGAAAAGAAACTCTTCTTAGAAGGAATTATTTTTTTGCTAGTCAACTGAAGTGCAAATATAACTGCAGAATTGCCTCACTTAAGCACATCAGCCACATAAAAGCTAAATGTGTTAGGGCTTGACATTTGAAAGAACTGGGAAAACGCAGGTGGTTTGAAATTGCTGTCTGTATTATACTGTTTCTCCAGCTAACATCGAAGTTGTCTGCCTTTTGTGACTAGAAGTGCCTTATTGAATGCAGTTAACATGTATACCCATTTTGTGAGTATAATGAATTTTTTTTATGTCCAGATTTTAAGAGCAGGGATTAAAGTACTTTTTTCCCCCATAGTTATCATGGATTCTGTTGCTGCTGATTTATGCTCTGTTTCTGTCACTAATTAGATTGCAGAGCTGCGTGAACTTGAATGTATTGAAGATCTGCCTCTCCTCAGAGTTTTAAATCTTTTAAAAAATCCTGTACAGGTAAGAAAGTACTAAAGAGGAAGCCAAAACTAAGAACCTAGAACTGCTGTTTTGGGTCACGCCAGAATCTATATAGCCACAGTTTCTATCTCTGAGAGTGGCCAGCTCATTTCAGGCAACGAGTACAAGAAATGATGAGTGATGGTTTCCCTGGCACGGTTACCCACCTTTGTCTGGGAACTTTGTCTGAACCAAAGCTGCATATGAATCATTGTGTTTCGTATGTAGTAAATCCATGAATTTTATTAATTCCATTTGTGAATCCATTTAAGTGTTTGTACTCACAGTATGCCGTGATTTTTGTTTGGGAAAAGATCCCCTTTTTGTTTACTTTGAAGGTCTGTACTTGATTGTTCCTGGGAAAAGCTCAAAGGAACTTAATAGTACCCCTTTTAAAATCATGTGTCTCTGGAATCTGTATCTTCTTTTCTTCTTTAGGATTTACTCAGTTCTCATTTATGGCTCCTGTAATATTCCTCAATTAATGAATTAAACATCCATTTTATCAACAACAATGACATTTGCAAAATATCAGAAATTCTGACTTTGACTCTGCATTTGTAATTTGTCCTGAGTGATCAAAGACGATTCTATCCTGACTTTTGTGATTTCTAAATTATGATTGAATTTTACAGTGATTTCCATTGTCAGAGAGAAGAAAAATGTTAAGGGTTTAACTTCTCCCTTCTGAAATTGCCAGTTTTGTATTGGCTTTCGTGAGAATGGTCTGTCGTGGCACACCGTGAAATTAGCATGAAAAAATACCCAAAATAGGCTGCCCCTGGTCCTCCGTGATCTGAAAGCCTTTTTCTGTTTAGATGTCCTTCCCCTAAGCAAAGTCTGATCCTATTCCTTTCAATTACTGTTTTAATAACTTATACATGCAACAATCACCTTAAGATGACTCTCTGAATTTCAGTTGTTTTAACAGGACCTTACTGGTTTTAGAACTAAGAAGCTTCATTAATTTGTCAGCATCAGCTTTTTAATTAGATTTTTAATTTTTTTTTTACTGTCTCAGACTTAAAAGCATATATGATGATGAATTTATAATGCAAATTCTCTTTTAAAGTTCCTACAGTACTACTAAGGTTAAAAGTATTAACCATAGTTTATTACATAATCCCAGTACAGATAATGCTTTTGGTTCTCCAGCAGTCTGTCTTGGTGTTCTAGTGGGTATGGTGGTGATTTTTAAATTCCCACCTTGACCTTTTGAACAATGTATTGCAGACTTTTGAACAACTATTAGCTTTTGTTGCAGAAGCTAAGCTTGGGGGCGGGGGGGGCAATTTGTACAGTGTATTGACATCCTTCAGGGTAAAAAGCTTTTTGTGTTGCAACGTATTAAGGCCAATTTAATTTCAACCGTTTGAAATTAAATATTAGATTGATGAAGTTAAGTACTTTATGTCAAAGTGGAAACTGTCCTTCAGGAACAAACGGATTATTGGCTCTTGGTGATTTTCACGTTGCTCCAACTAACAGAACTGGATCTCAAGAAGATTTCAGTGGAAGAAAAGGTATGTAAACATCATGTCATTCTGGAATTTTTCTAAATAAAGAATATAAAAAACTGTGCATGCAAATGTAGCTTTGTAGTCATTTGGGTGTGACAAATCTCCCATGTTTCAGCCCCCAAGATAGGCTACAAATTCAGAGACTTTTGCTTTTAAATCCAGACATATATTTGCAGAATTTCTGGAGCAGCTGTGGTACGTAAAAATGCAAAGCTTACCTAAAAGCTTTGTTCAGTGAAGAAATTTATTTAGCAGCCATTGTTACTCAGCTAGTGAATCTAAACAGGCACTACATTCATGGAATACTCTGAATTCTTCCACCAGCACTGAGAGGGTGTAAATTAATGGATAATTAAAATCTAAGGAAAATTATTTTGTATCTTATGTGGCATCCTGTTTTCTTTCTAGTAAAAGGTTGAATATATTAAAGATAGTAAGCTACGTCTGGCTGTCTTCCATCCATCTATCAAATTATGCTTAATCCCCTGAAAAGATTTATGTAGTGGAGTGCTCACAGACAACCCAAATACCAAGACTGACCCTCATAAATATGAAGCCATCAGTATTCATAGTGATCTGTGAAGCATATTGCAGCTGGAAACAATTACATCACTGCTCGTCTTTCTTTTGGCCCTAAACCGTGGAAACAGGTTGCTGCTGTGAATAAGTATGATCCTCCTCCAGAAGTCGTTGCTGCTAAAGATCATATGACTCATGTTATGTATAGCGTGCTGCAGCCCCAGAGAATCTTTGACAGGTAAGCTTACCTCCACTTCACATCAGCTCCTGAGGGTGGCACTCAAGTAAAGCAGAATATGTTGTCATATTTAGAGGGGCATTCTTCTGTCCCTCTCTCATCTCTAAATTAATCTAATGAAGAAGAGACATTCCACAGTATTCTGGTAGCAGCCTGGAAATTAGGCAAATCTTATTTGGTTGAAATTGATTATGAAATTAAGTTAGTCATTCACCTCTAAAGTCTGAGACAGATTGTCCACAGCTCCGTTTCTTTTAAACAATCTGTTGAAACAGATGGCCATTTGCACCATAAATGAAAGATGCAAAAATTCTATCAATACCCAAAGGCAATTTAAAAATATCTAGAGGGAGAAGAGAGCTGTAAAACATTTCTTCCTATTCTGCTTCTTCCTTCTCTTCACACTATTGGCATCCCATTGTGAGGAAAATGGCTTTATTTTGTGGCTTTGGGGCACATTTTATATTCATAAGATGAAATTTTCAAGTTTGTACTCCGGGAAGTCCAGCTACTTCTGCCTTTGGGAGGAGACGATGCTGACTGCCGCTTAAAGCACAGAAGGGAGAGGCAAATCAACGTTCTTTTTCCAACATTGCCATTGCCATGCCAGGTGACTTCTCTCAGTCTCATTTCTCATCTAGAAAATGGAAATAGCCATACGTCACAGCTCTGAAGATGTGTTACGATATTTGCTTGATGAATGCTTGGAAAATGCTTTGACATACTCTGATGGAAGATACTATGAAGTATACGTGGCTTATTATTATATTGGCTACAGTGGGCACTGAGATCAACTTTTGTGTCCCACACCCTGTTTTAGCACCATTTTGGACATCTTAATTCATAATGGGTAACCTGATTTAAGATCCATGATTTAGTAACTCAGAAATTTATATTTTTAGAATATCTTTATTACAAGTCTTGTGTTTTCTGGGATTGTCGATGAAAGACAAAAAAAAAAAAAAAAAAAAAAAAAAAAAAAAAAAAAAAAAAAAAAAAAAAAAAAAAAAAAAAAAAA